CGCGGCTGCGGCCTCTCCAGCAGCCCCTGGGGAAGGGATGCTGGTCTGGCTGTCAGATGTGACAGGTCCCTGGGGAACAAGAGGGGCAGAGGGCCTGCGTCTGCCATGGAGGACACGGGGGACGTGTCTGGGAAGCATGAGGTGAGAAGGACAGAACGGGGGACGCAGAGCACTGCTGGCACCGGGAGAGTCGGGGAAGGGGAGCGAGGGAAGAGCTGCCGCAGACGGGAGGTAGCGCTGGCTGTGGCCGGGATGCTGTCACCAGGGTTGGGGTCAGACTCACACCACGCGGGGCCGACACCGCAGGCACCTTCGCCGGGTCCCTGCAGCCCACCCGCTCTGCACCCGGCAGCCAAGGGCGGAGAGGTGCAAATGTGCACACGCCTGGCGCCGCCCTAGGCTGCTCTTCACAGGGTCTGAAACCACTGCCCCATCCAGCCCTGCCTGTGCGTCCTTCCTGCCCACACTGCCCGCTCCACTCTCGGCTGCAGCTGTGACCTGTCCCACCATCAGGCCCATCACCCGTGGCCTCCGGGGGTCGGCGAACACCACGCAGCTGCCGACCACCAGGGCGCCACGTGTCTGTGCTCCAGGGCAGCCCTCGGTCCCTGTCACCTCGTCCTCCAGTGGATCCCCCGGCCCTGAGCCACGTTTAAGTTGGAGCCGTGTTTATATCCTGCGCCCTCCCCGGGTGCCAATATGTTTTCCCAAAATACCATGTCCTACGCCCGACCAAGGCTCTTCCCGTGAGAGAGGGGACGTAGGAAATAGGACCTGGGACTGGGAGCCGTCGCGCGTGCGCGGGCACGGCCTGGCTTCCCACACGGTGCGGGGGAACCGGGCTCAGGACAAAGCACAGCACCGTGGACAGCGAGCACCGAGAGCGCCGGCGCGACAGAAGCTGGAGCAGCTGCAGAGAGCGATGCGAACGGAGCCCTCAGCCACTCAGGGACCCGAAGAGCCGACCTGCGGAGGCGGGAGCTGCGGGGTGACGCCCCCAAACCACAGCCGCCAGGTCTGCGTGGGGTCTGCCCATCGCTCCACGAGCCTCCTGCCTCCAGACACTGCAGCTCTGCACCCCTTTTCAGAACGGTGACCCGAGGAGGAGGCAGTGTGGGATCTGGGGTGGGGTCAGGACACCGACCCTGTGGACAGAGGGCACAGGCCACAGTGGCAGCCGCCTCCTTGCCGGGTCTGCGGGAGCCTCGGGACTCAGCTTGAAGCCCCGGAAGGCACGCCCATTCACTCGGTGACACCGTCCTCACAGCTCAGTGATAAACGACGTGTGCTGAGGGGACAGGCTGCATCTCACAGAGGCTGGCAGGGCTCGTTGCCATGACAACAGACAAGGCTCCATCGCTCGCTGGCCTATTGGACCCCACCTGGAACAGAAACCGCTCCTCCCTGTTCCCCCAGCACTGCAGGCTGCACCTCACGAGGGAGACGACAATCTGTCACCTACAGCACAGAGATGGTGGCAACTAACCCGCCACCAGGGCCACGACTGTCCCTCGTGGTCCCCACCCCTGGGGACAGGAGCGGGCGGTGCCCCAGGAGCCCATCTCCATCTCATCAACAGCCAGGGCTGAGGGGCCCACGCGGAGCCCTGAACAGCCAGCGGAGCCCCCGCGGCCACGGCCACGACACACCAGCTCACGATGGGAGGAGACAAAACGCGACGCAGACAGACAAGCCACGTGCCCCACACCCGTCTGCTCCGGGCGGCCTCGTGGGGGAAGGGGCGGCAGGCGAGGCACCGGGCGTGTCACTGACCTCATGCTCCGCGTGTCCCAGCCTCGGACGGCGGTGTCGTTGGCCGTGGCCACCTGGGTGCAGTTGTGATGCGGGCTCCAGCGTCCCGAGGTGAACCTCAGCTGCCCCTTGCCTTCCAGCGACGCCGAGCTGGCCAGCTGCGAGGGAAGGAGAGAAGGAAGTGCACCCGCAGGACAGAGCCGGCATCACTGAGACCGTCGGGAGGGCGGCTGGGTTTCCGCCCTGAGAATGTGTGAGCCTTAACTGAGGAGAACTGTAAGCCCAGCTCAGCAAAAACAGACAGCGTATTGATAACCGCCAGGAACAGGCTGCAAGGGTGTGATGAGAGATCTGCTCCCTCGTGAAAGGACAACAGGAAATAAGAAACATCTGGCTGCCCCCAAAGGCAGAGAGCAAGTGGGTCCACAGGGTCCCCTCCAGGCAGAGGACACAGCTGGGCCTCATCACGTGCCTGAGTCGCCCCCCCCCCCCCCCCCACCCCTGCCCCCC